AAAAAAAAAAAAAAAAAAAAAAAACGTTCAAAATGTAACATATCATTTGGGTAATATAGATGCTTTATAGGAATACCAAAAGCGTCGATATAGACACTTAAATGGCTTTACTATTACATAAGTAAGTGTCGCAATAAGCCCGAGTGACTTGTAAAAATGATGGGGATTTTTGAAGGGGGCCGAAAAAAGGGAGTTGCAGAATCTTGTTTGGGGGCCTTGCTCGAATTCTTGTCAGCGCCTTTTTATAAATCCAGTCATACATATATAATAAGAATTGTTGATAACTGCAAGTCTGCAACACGTTCGACTTCACGTGGTTTTTCAATCATGATTGTTTTGAGTTACTGTGGTTCCTCTGCTATCAAATCGTAGGAACGACAATTTTAAGTAGCCAATGAACGTTTACTTACATGTAATTCGATTAAAGGAAAAAAGATCGCATGGTGGCCTTGGCAATGCAGAAAAACCCACAGAGAATGGCCAGTGACTTCCCTTGTGAAAAGCGTTTGTTTCACGGAACTAGTCCCGATGCAGTGGATGCCATCTGCAAACAGAACTTTGACTGGCGTGTGTGCGGAAAAAGTGGCACCAAGTACGGAGAGGGAAGTTACTTTGCAACTAATGCATCTTATAGTCATTCATACGCCAAAAGTGGTTCAGATGGTTTTCGGTTTACGTTCTTGGCCAGAGTTTTGGTTGGATCTTTCATCAAAGGGAAACGGGAATATCGAAAGCCGCCAAAGAAGGACCCTTCAAATCCCTCGAGCGATCTGTACGACTCGTGTGTAGATAACGAACGTAATCCTGAAATCTTTGTTATCTTTGATGGTGATCAGTTCTATCCAGAATATGTTATCAAATACTTTACACTGGATCAAGACCGAATCCTTTTAACATCAATAACAGCGCCAAGAAGTTCCCAAGGCCTCACAGCGAATCCGAAGAGCCCCAGCACAAGTCTGAGCGCTAATAGAGCAATGCCCCACTCAGCTTCAAATTTGCAGCAGCCAATAGCATCGCCGAGAGGTTTTCAAGACCTTAAAGCCAATACGAAGAGCTCTATCACAACTCTGAGTACTAATAGGTCACTGCTCCACTCAGCTTCAAATTTGCAGCAGCCTGTTAAAGCGTCTACAAGTTCCCAAGGTGGTGCAGCCAATTTAGCCGGGTCCAGTGATAGCTTTACAGCAAGTGATTCTAATGCTCAGTCTAGGAAAAAGCAAAGAAATGACTCAAAGTCGAGAAAGTACTCAACCTCGAATTTGCGTCAACCAATACCAACGCCGAGAAGTTCTCAAGGCCTCAAAGCGAATCTGAAGAGCCCCAGCACAAGTCTGAGCACTCAAAGAGCAATGCCCCACTCAGCTTCAAATTTGCAGCAGCCAATAGCATCGCCGAGAGGTTTTCAAGACCTTAAAGCCAATACGAAGAGCTCTATCACAACTCTGAGTACTAATAGGTCACTGCTCCACTCAGCTTCAAATTTGCAGCAGCCTGTTAAAGCGTCTACAAGTTCCCAAGGTGGTGCAGCCAATTTAGCCGGGTCCAGTGATAGCTTTACAGCAAGTGATTCTAATGCTCAGTCTAGAAAAAAGCAAAGAAATGACTCAAAGTCGAGACAGTGCTCGATACTATAACCTCACCTGGGCATGAAGCATCATGGTATTTGAACTAAGGAGTAAGTCTGGTACAAAATCGCCCACGGTGAGTTTTGGTTTGGGAAAGCGATTTACACACAGCTTCAACCAGTTGCTTTAATCACTTGAGACAAGACGTCCAACTGGAAACACAGACGGTGTCAAAAACGTAAAAAATTTATTGATTTTGGACCAATTAAATATTAAAGATTATTAATCGGTTGTTAATTCTTTGACCAACACCTCAAGATACTGTAGCTGCATCGACAAATATGTTGATTCATTTTTTTTTACTATTCTAATACCAAATATCTAACCGCCAACCGTCAACTAGCCTAAAATTTAATCGTCAACAGTCAGAAAGCAATATTTTCTGCCATCAACCTGTTGTACAGCTGTTTTTAAGCTATTTTAAAACTTTTGTGGATCTGTTGTAAAGCTGTTTTTAAGCTATTTTGGAAACGTCTTTGATCTGTTGTATAGCTCTTTTTAAGCTACTTTGAAACTTCTTTTGATCTGTTGTATATTTGTTTTTAAGCTACTTTGAAACTTGAAATTTTTTTGATCCGTTGTATAGCTGTTTGTAGGCTACTTCGAAACTTTTTTTTTATCTGTTCTATAGCTGTTTTTAAGCTTCTTTGAAAACTCATTTTGATCTGTTGTATAGCTGTTTTTAAGCTACTTTGAAAGTTTTTTGATCTGTTGTAAAGCTGTTTTTAAGCTATTTTGAAAACTCATTTTGATCTGTCGTATAGCTGTTTTTAAGCTACTTTGAAACTTTTTGGATCTGTTGCATAGTTGTTTTTAAGCTACTTTGAAAACTTCTTTTGAGCTGTGTATAGCTGTTTTGACGCTACGTCTTTTAAACTTTTTTTGAGCTGCTATAAAGGTATTTTAAAGCTGCTACCTTGAGCAGTTTTAAAGCTGCTTTTAAGCTACTTTTGAACTGCTTTGGAGCAAATAAGTCTATCAAGGAAGGAATCGTTTGCAGCTGATGTTGTTCCTTGAGGTAGAATAGGCCTAGAGAAAGAATATGTATTAATCTTGCCTGTCCACATTCGAAGAAGATTTCGGTCACACGAGAGTATTATACATTGAACGAAAAAAATGGAAGTCATGTTTTGCTTCTTCACTGACGGCAAGCAACACAAAGCGCGAGAACTTGACATGATTACCCTTAGAAATCATGCACCGCGGTCATACACGGCATGATTACCCGTGACCTTGAGTGTCCTTGACATGATTACTGTATAATCTGCAGCTAGATGATGTCACAGGCGCTGATTTCGAAAACTCACTGTCGTTTTCGGCGAGTCAGAAAACAGATGGTGAGTTCAATGTACAATAACAATGAAAATCAGCGTTGTGTATGTTTTCAAATAAAGTCTGCATACGAGCCAAGCGGCTCATCAGGCCGGAGCTTATCCCGTTTTCTTTAGCATGAAGCATCTAAGAGTAAGGCCTACTCTGGGACCTTAAGTTGCCTAAAGTCGCCTAAAGTCGCCTTAAGCTGCTATCGGTTAAGCAATAATAAAAAGGCTTCGACACACTCAAAGTGCCCCTGTAAGAGTATTTCTACTGTCCCACTAACCTGCGAACAGGCTCACCTTTGAGTCACACGCGCGAGCGGCGAAGAGCAAAGCGATCCGGCGGGAAGGCGTCTGGTGAAGAGGCGCTTTCTCGTCTCGCGGCTTCGCCGCACGCGCTTGTGCTCCAACGTGAGACTGCTTGCAGGTTACTGCCCCACTGGATGGGATGCTACTTCGACGCGGGCTTACCCCCAGCATTAAATTCGCCGGTACCCATTTATACACCTGGTTGGAGAGGGGCACTGTGAGAGCACAGTTTCTTGTCAAAGAACACAACAAATGTCCCCGGCCAGAGCTCGAACCCGGACCGCTCAATCCGGAGTCCAGCGCACAAAATATTTTCCCCAGATCCTTTTTGTAACTTTCTCCCTGGAACGTCTACTGAACTGACCAAATTTGATATTGGAACTGAACTTTCTCTTTAAAACGTTTCTTATGATCCTATAATCTATGGTACTTTTGCTATGCAGTTTTCCGCAGAAACTTTTCTAAGAGAAATATTTTACTGGAATTCTTGTTCAACGACGTTTTTTCTCATGAAGGGGCATGGTGCCAAGAAGGTTTTGATGAAACTACGGAACTTTCTTTCTATGGATCTTTCAAAGCCACATGGATAAAGAAGTATCTAGATAAGGAAAACTGTGGAAGCTGGAAAAGATTTCTTGACTCAGAACTTGAAAAATATGAAGGTGAAGTAACACTAACTGGAAATCAAAACATAAAAGACAGTCGTAACATTATTAAAGTATCAGATCCTTTTTTCAAAGAAATTCTTGAAATCCGGTCAGAAGCCAATTATGAAGAAAAGATTGTATCAGATTATCACTTTCGATCATCGCCCTTATTGTATAATTCACTTATAAGAGTTGGGAATAGACCAGTGTTTTTTAAAGAATGGTTCCTCAAAGGAATAACAAAAGTAGAACATTTACTGGATGACTCCGGAAAGATTCTCTCGCTCACTGCTATCCAAACTATACACGACCTGACAGCCCGACCTTTAAACTTTCTTGGAATCATTTCTTCAATAAAACTTCTTCAAAGATATATACCCTATGATATCAGAACCTCGATTAAACATGAAAGTTTCTTGTCAAAATTTTTAAAAGGCAAAAAACCTAGTAGACTAGTATATAAGAAACTTGTATCAGGAAAAAGTGAACCACCCAACCAAAGTCAACAAAAGTGGCAGGAAGACGTCACTCTCA